CAGCTAGAGTATCTATGCCAAAGATTGTATTAAATGTATAACAGCCAAAGGTGTTGTCGGGAAAATGATACTGTCGGGAAATAGATATTGTCAGGAAAGTGATACTGTCGGAGAAGTGATATGTCGAGAATCTATTTGTCGGGAGAGTGAATTGTCGGGAAAGTTTTTATCGGGAAATCGGTAGAAATCCATTTCAAACATGCTATCGATTAAGAAAATATATAGTTCGATAACTTTTTATATGAGAAATTCGACAAATAAAATTATTCTATATGCAAATGATCTAAATTACCTGGTCATTATTTGATGACTTTGGGTCATTTGAATTTTGATCAAATGACCAGGTCATTTACCATGCCGGTTAATGATTGTGCTTCGCCAAGACCAAATCCGATAGTTGATAACACATTCCAAACTTGGTAATCTCATTATATACTCTGCAACAAATAGGAGAAATAAGTATACATATATTTTAATTAGTGTACCATGATTATTTCAAATTTATTTCGAAGTAAATACATGCCAAGATATATTAAAATGAATGTTGTAAAACTCATTGTGAACCTTTAATTCTTTTGTACTGTATAGTGAGCTTCATTCACTATACGATTTTTTTTCATGTTCTTCTTACGTTCTTTTTATGTTCTTTTCATGTTTTTTAATGTATTTAATCATTTTTGCGATTTTACTGGTTAGTCTATTTAAACTTATTTTCTATGAAAGTACAACTTTTCACAAATCATATTGAATAATGTTTTACAAAAGATTAATTGATCCTGGAGAATGCGTTGGAAATTTAACACGAAGAAATCATCCATCAACCGACCCTTTAGGTTGTTATACATTTAATACAACCTTTGGCATAGATACTCTAGCTGGTCTTACGAGTATAAATTTTCCTGACCCATACAAGGATCGGGATCAAACTTTAATGGACCCAGGACTCTGTATAATTCATTGTGCTGATTATCTTTTTAAATATGCAGCACTAACACATGGAAATGATTGTAGATGTGGTAATAACACTGGTTTAGATGCTTACGTTAAATTAACTGATAATAATGTAATTAATACAACTTGTAATATCACTTGCGTCGGTAATTCAAGTTATATATGTGGTGGAAAAGATGGCTATACTGTTTATAACGCATTAACGGCTATTTCAAGTTATAGAGTACCTAATATAACTACCAGCCAAAAACTTGAAATAATTAATGACCTTCGCCTTAATAAAGATGTAGGATATAAAGGATGTTATAAGGAAAGTCCTTATTGTAATAAAAGATTTTTAAATGGTACATCAGAGGAACCTTCCGGAATGACAATTGAAGAGTGTTTAAAATTTTGCGGAGGAAATAATTTTAAGTATGCAGGACTTGAGGTATCGATAATAGATTTTTTATTACATATTTAAAAACACGCGATGATCATGATTTGAGTATATTGAAATCCAAATTTCAATTATTCAACTTTTTTATCACTGCCTGTTTTAATAGTAAAAATGTGTCTAAATATATGAAAAAGGATTTAATCTTTTTTATTACCATTCTTAGATAGGGTCGCAGTGTTTTTGCGATGATGATTTTAAAAGCCTAACCAGACTTTCCATAGAAGAATGTAGTTCTAGTTGTGAAGGTAATACTGCGGGGGTCCTTTGGCTCTTAGTATATATAATGCTTCACCACCTTCAGGTGGCCTTTCAGATGGTCAAATAACTTGTATTGTTGGCATTGTCGGTATTGTTTTAATTTCAGCATTAATAGTTTTGTATGTAAAAAGGAAATTTTCATCTCAAAGTTCGGATACTAGTTCAGGTACTAATTCAGATGACGATACAAATGGCCCAGATACTAATTTAGAAAACGGTACAAATGATCCAGTTACTAATTTCGATAACGGTACAAATGATCCAGTTACTAATTTCGATAACGGTACAAATGATCCAGTTACCAATTTCGATACAAATGATCCAGTTACTAATTTCGATAACGGTACAAATGATCCAGTTACCAATTTCGATAACGGTACAAATGATCCAGTTACTGATTTCGATAACGGTACAAATGGCTCAGATACTAACTCAGATCACCACCCTAATGATTTACATTCATTATTCTGATCCGTTAGTAGCTTCAGTTATTCATAAAAATTGGATGGTTAAACATTATTAATTTATTAGCTCATTTTAGTTTTTTATTTGTTTTTAGCATTAGTTTTTTTAAATAGCTTAATGTTTAATATTATTTTTAAATTTGATTTTTAAATTATAGTAAGATTAAATAATGAATCAGTCTGTTGAGTTATTAATAATCTGGTTTCATGTTGGGTTTTATAGATAAATGTATTATTCTTTATTTTCTAAATGCGTGCTATAATCTTGGTCTGTAAGCTTAGTTACATAATTATTACTATAAAATAGCCAATCATATTTTATGAATGAAATTATTTATTAATATTTAATAGTTTAATATCTGATATTAATATAAAAATTATAGTAATTATTATTTGGGTTTCTAATAAAAGTTGTAAAAAGGCTTTTATGATTCTAACATGATAAAATCGCCATGATTGAATTTAATAGTTTTAAGATATAAACAAAAATGTTCTTTTTGCAACTATATAAACTTTACAAAATATAAAATTTATATAGTTGCGAAAATATTTTTGTTTATATATTAATAATTTTACCTATTTTATAATTAAAAAAAAAACCTTTCTTTAAAACTTTTATTAGAAGCCTAACTAATGTTTCATATATATATATATTATTACAATAAATTATATTTGTTAAACATACATATGTGTGAATTTGATATTTAATTTAATTTCATCCATATTAGTTATTTTTTAAAAAAATTATGCCGATTGCAAAACGATCTATGTTATTTTCTAGTTTAAGGATAATGCATTCAATTAATAGACGAAAATTTAAGAATAAAAGCAAAATGCAGGGACAAATGAAGGATAAAAGTCTTCAATCAGAGAAAGTATAGGACATACGGTTTCATTAATAACTCTGTTCCCAGCCTTTGCTAGTTCTTCTTTTAAACAATCTTTGTTACAGCAAAGTTCATAACATTGAATATCAAAAATATCTCCCGTAAATTTGTTTTCTATAAAAGCCAATTGATTCTCATTGATAATTAACATCAATAGAGTGATATTTTTGTTAAGAGAATCTATTAATGCCTTCCCTCCTTCAAAACCAAGATTATTATTATTAATATCTAAAAAAGCCAGGGTACTATTCTTGCAAAGGGCACCTGCCATTGCCTTTCCTCCTTCAACGCCAATTTTATTACCATTGAGATTGAAATGAGTTATAGTGGTATTTTTGCAAAAAGAATCTGCAAATATTTTTCCTTCTTCAGGGCCAAATTGATTAGAACCGAGATTCAAATGAGTCAAATTAATATTTTTGCAAAGGGCTTCTGCGAAAAATATTGCACCATCCGATCCAAGTTTATTATTACTAAGATCCAAATAAGTCAAGGTATTGTTGATGTAAAGTGCCTCAGTCAATGCTTTTGCACTTTCATGGTCAAGTCCATTATCACTAAGATTTAAGGAAGTCAAGGTATTATTCTTGTAAAGAGCTTTTGCTAATTCTTTTACACCTTCAGAACCAAGTTGATTTTTAGATAGATTCAAAAATGTTAAAGTGTAGTTATTATAAAGGAACTTTGCTAATGCCTTTCCACCTTCAAAACCAAGATGATTCCAAGCAAGATTCAAAGATGTCAAAGTGCAATTACTGCAAAGAATCATTGCTATTGTTTTTCCTTCTTCAGAACCAAATTGATTCCTAGTAAGATTCAAAGAAGTCAGAATGGCGTGATTACAAAGTGCTTCTACTAATTTTTTTACATCTTCATGAATAAGTATATTTTTAGTAATGTCCAAAGAGGTTAACTTTGTATCAGTACGGAGAACTTCTATCAATAACTTTATTGCTTCTGAATCAAACTTATTATATTCAAGTTTTAGAGAAGTAAGATTGGTGTTTATATTAAGAATTCTTATCGTCTCGCTATCAATCATTCCATAAATTTTTAAATTTTTAAGTTGATTACAATTTCGCAGAAATGATCTGATCAACGAGAATTTAACAGTACGAACTAATTCATGATAATTAATTGGATTATATGAGTTATATGAATAATGTAGAGTTGATTCATATGGATTGAATGGATGATAGTATAAGAGAAAATTAAGCCATCTTTCGATACTAAGATTTAAATTATAGCCATCAATAGAAGTAATAAATGTTATATATTTAAATAGTGGCTTTGAATATTTCGAAAGCGTTAAGTTTAGTGGGATAAGTCGCCTTTGTTCTTCAATGTTTAATGATAAAAAATATATCATTATAATCCTTTTATCAACAAAATAATCCAGCGGTTTGCTCCACAATATTGGTGTAGCAATTCTACACCATTTCCGATTTACAAGAAGACATGAAAATAAGCTTTCATGGTGTTTATTAAGGTCACTGAAATAATAAAATATGTCATAAAAGCATTCATTTGGAAGCAGCTCAATCATTTTGAAAGGATGAAGTTTGAGATACGTACATACGTAGCAAAATCCCATTAAATAAAAATGTTACAAACTTTGTTTAATAAAGTTCTCAATGATTACATTGTACCATGTTTGACTGATTGAAGTAGATCCAACAGTGACAAATAGGTTGAATTAGTACAACGTAATAGCATGCACAAAACTTTATTAATCGTTAAACGTGCCTGTATTGTCATTAAATTATGGGATATATAACAACTTACAAGTGTATTCGACTAGTTATCATGAATATTACATGAATGCTATTTGATCGTAATTAAGGTGCCGGATCAAAATTTTCGAAAGTCAGACGTAGTTTATTTCGTCAAATTGATCTTTTGACTTATTTATTTGATATAACTATTAAATATAAATATTCAAATTTTTCATTTATATTTTATAAGGCCATACGATGTTACGACCAGTGGGAGAGACTTTATATCGGTTGAGCCAATTTAGTTTAGGGTCGTAGGCATTAAAATAATAAACCGATTGTTTGTTATCACACACAAGGCACCAGAAAGTAATAAACTAATATCTCTTTATTGTGTCCCAGACACTAAAGTAACAAATACCCTTATCCAACTAACCAACCTAGTACGTTCCCAACGCACTAAAACTCAAATATAAATCTAAAGACCAAAATACAAATCCACTAAAATCTACCTGATCCCATTTACAAGACTATCGTGCTATATATATATTGTATTAGACTCTAAATAAGCTATATACTATTTACAGATATGTAGTATAACAATATAAAGTCTAATTAAAGTATACTCTACAGCTACGTATAAACTTTGCATAGACTATTAAGGTTACACGCCAAAGTATATATGTTACACAAGCGAAAGTTTAATTATGAAACTTTGTTGCGTAACAACGAACATATATTTTCGGTTTTCCGGCCGGGTCAGCAAAGCGGGAATCCAAAATTTTTATGTTTTTTAATATAACTACCAATAAATCCTCCATGCATATTATGTGACAAAAACAAAGTTGAATTGTTAAATTCTTGCAAAATAGTGATAGTTTCAGTTTCTAATCTTTTTTTGCATTGATCTATTGTAATATAAGTACCGCCTAAATGCTAATTCAGTAACATACTGTATATTAATAATATGTATTTTGAACTGGATTGCACTTGATTTATTTCAAGAAAGAACCCATTTATATACAATTGCTACACTTAATTCACCTGGCATAATCACAAAAATCATTAATTAAAATAAGATTGTTATAATTAGTTAAATAAAAGATACAATTAAAAAATGGCATAAAGTATGGGGCTTTGTAGTTGAAAGAGTCAAAAAAATATGATTTTGAGATAATCAAGTTCATCATGTTCTAATAATTTGGGTATTTTCGTGTTGAAATTTATTAAATCTTGTTGAATTTCGCGCCAAATTTACCCAAATCTTGTTGATTTTCAGGGGCAGTTTGCAAAAGAATATTTTCTTAATATATATTTTTAAATTGGTTTGTCTTTGAAATGTTTTCAGAAACCCAACTAAATACATAATATGTATCAACTATATTATTAGGTAATTTTAAAAACTTGCATTTCACGAAGACTGCATTATAAACTTTTATTAATCAAAGTTATTTTTAATTTATCACAAGTAGAAATGCTTTATTTCAATCATCTATGTTCTTAGAAGGCATTACACTTTCTTTAAGTTTCCAATTTTTGGCATAATATAAAATTTGACTCAATAGTTTTTCAACATTTCTTTTGTTGTAAAAATATTAAAAACTTTAACTAGATCAAGCGTCTACACATAAATTTATAGATCTATCAGCTCACCAGCTTTAAATGTAATTATATTTAATTAAAAGTTCATAGTATACCGTTCATTTAGTATTCCGATCTGACTAACCAGAATGACTCAATATTATATGCTATAATATATTTTATTATATAGGTAATGATCATCTCTATAAAAATTTTTCGAAAATGTATCCAGCTTTCTCCATACTATCAACCCATTATTGATCTGAAAAATGCTCATTTTTCGAAAAAAAAACATACATAAATTCTTGGTCATTTCCATAGAATCTTAATAAATTCTAGATAAAATCAAATCCTAGTTTCTAATTATAATGAAGTATAAAAAATTAGAAGCAAATCTTACCAAGATTTGATTTCTACTCAAAAATTACCAGAATTCTATAAAAATAATAAAGAATTTATATGTTTTGTTCTGAAAATGAGCATTTTTCAGAATGATAATAGAATGATAATCTGAAAAAAGCCAGGATATGTTTTTCAAAATTTTTTATAGGGTAATGCGTAATTCATATACAAGATGTGTAGGCTACATAGTATATATAACAATTAATTCAAATTTTATTCAATTATATAATTTTATTCATACATATACCACAAGTTTAATCTACTAAATGATACTTTGAAATAGATTGCATAAGATAATTGATAATTGGGTAATATTTTTACAAATACTAAATAGTTTGTCACTACACTTGGATCCCATAGGAAGACTTTTGTATGATTGGCTGCTTAAGTCTATTTAATTTTACATTATTTATACAGTTTAAAGTACTTTTTTAAAAAAATCAAACTATGAATAATAAATAAAAAAGAAGTATATAAAAAGGTTGTAGAACTCTATCATTAAAAATAATCAAAATCATTTTTGGTTTTAGAGAAGTTAACATAATAACAACTTCTTAAAGATACAACCCTATTAAAACTTTCTATATACTTCTTTTTTGTTTATTCTTCATTTTTTAAAAAGTACTTTAAACTGTATAAATAATGTAAAAATAAATAGATTTAAACAGCCAATCATACGAAAGTCTTCGATCCTTAATACGTCTAATGATCATACTACGTTCTTTGCTCAAGTGCAATTACGTTATGCAGCTACGTACCTGATTTTTACTTTAGACACATAAAATGTTTTCAATTTTATGAAATGACAGATCACCTTTCATGCTCAGTAAATTACAAATATGTTTGTATGTATGTGATTATTAAAAAATTCTTTTACCAGGTATTATGGCTGAGTGTCAATAAAAATTTTTATTAAAAAATTTTTTTAAAGAAAAATTTAAAATCTGTCACCGGTCACTAAAGTTAGTTGGTGTTATGAAGACCGATAATATAAGTTTGCATAGTTTCATTAAAAAAAATTTTTACATATGAAATTTTTTACCAGGTACCCGGTTGTGAGACAATAAAATTTATATAAATTTTTTTTTTTATTATAGAAATTTCTTTAAAAAAAATTAAAATCCGGGTCGGCGGGTCATGGTGATATGAAAACCGAAAATATAAGTTTGTATGACCTAATTTGAAAAAAAAACAACACGTAAAACCAGCATAATTAAAATGAGTCTTGCGAAATACGAAGTTGACATCGTGATCACTGAACTCGCTACTAACCCTATCTACTCAATATAGTATGAAAAAAATTAATATAGAACTATCTATATTTATTTTTCTCACAAGTATCCCAATTTAATACCTCAAATTCATCGCTAATACTCAAATTACTATCTGTTAATGTCTTGTGATAAAATGGATTTAGAATTCCTTAAGATTTTAGGGTTAGAGTGTAGGTTTATATAAAATAAATTCTACCCTAAAATTATAGTTTTATTAAAAAATTCCAAATCTACTTAAATTCCGTTCCCCTTACAACATATATACTATAATGCTAAAAATTTCTTTCGAGCTATCCCGTGATACAATTGTCTTATAACATTACGTGGATTAAAAACGATGTGAATTTTTTTTTAGTGTGGGTCAATAAAAAATGGGTCAAGTGGTCAAAAATGTTTTGCCCAATTGTGCCAATTGTTTATTTTGTCCATCATTTTTGTCGGATGTCACCTGATGGAGGCCATCAGGAAAAAAAAAGCCGATGACCGACCCAGATTTCAGATTCAATGTAATGCAAAACGAAAAATTAACTTTACGTGTTCTTAATGTTAGCAATAAATAGTTTTGTTTGATTTAACCAGATAGCGAAATTTTATAGATTGATAACGTTAGCTGTTAGTGTGAATTCTGCAATTTTTGAACCTATTCATTAAGATTTGACGAAACCAATTTTATGTCATGCAGATCTACATAGACTGATAAACCAGAATTTTTTTTTATTGGCGAATAACGACGTGCCAAAGAAATTAACACAGTAACAATATATCACCAAGATAGATTCATTTAATAATAATAATAATAATAACCATTTCATTATTATTATTTTATACATTTTGCGTTCATATTGCAGGTTAGAAATTTTAAATTTAGAATATTGTTGAAGTAGAAATAAATTATTAATATATATGCAGTAATTATGAATCATAAAGGTATCCATCGGTAACCGATAATTACATTAATGCTAGAGATGTTTTATTATGAGAAATAAGAACTTATAATTATTATGAAAACTAAAGTATAAAAGATATTTACAAAATGTGTATATAACAGATATCTTGATCACAATAATTAATATGTTATAATAATTTTAGAGAATTAATACTCTATAATAATTTTAAAAACTAGCGAATTTGAATATTTCAAGTTTAAGAGAATACGTTAACCATACATTTGTGATAATTTCCAAAATGAATAGAGCACATTAATAATCAACTATACAATCAACTATACACTATGGTTGAATATGATCAGGTACACGGATTACTATATCAACATTTTCATCCATTTTCCTTTTAAAAATTTCAGCAATCCTACTTAATCTATTCGACATAAACATTAAAGCCTCAATATCCTCAAGGGTAACCAGCTTTCGTCTTTGTAATTGAAGCCATTCGTCACAATACCAAATCAACACCTGTCGATGTTGATTAAATTCAAACAAAAGGTAACTAATCTGATTTCGAGTGTCAGGAATTTTCCCCATGATCCGTTTCAAATAAGCAAGATCACGTGTTATTCGTTCCGTATCATATAATGAATCCAATATCGGAAAATTGCGGCTAAAGAAAACTTCTACATCCTTTATTCCGTTTTTTAGTTGATATTTCCTTCCACTATAGACGTAATAAACTTCATCAAGATCCTTCATAACTTTTTCAAATCGATCTCGCAAAGTGGTAATAATGTCTAAAATCATTCTATAACGTCTCTCAAAGAATATCACATTTTTCCGTGTAAGAACTTGATTTGGTTGAATCTTGTCAATGATAAAGCCTAATTCCATTCCAAGCTTTTTAAGAACAAATTCCCCTGTAGGATACATTCTTTCGAGAGTTTGACCTAGATTGAATGTTTTATCACCAAGATCGTTGAGATATTGCACCACTTCAGCTGAGTATTGCACCACTTCGGTTGAGTTGTTAATCAATAGCGGATTGTGAGTTGCTCTATTTGCAAGAGATCGACTCTTGACATTACATTTTATAATCTCAGATGGTGCTAATTCGATTTATGGAAATATTGTCAAAGATGTTTGCCTTTATTAAAAATATTTGATAAATTAAAATTTAACTAAAATAATATTCTATACCTGTAATACTAAGTCTAGCGAGTTGTCCGGAAATCGAACTAGTGGTCTTCACGAGATTTCTGAAAATGGGCAGGTCGACGGCCTGTATATGACAATAATGGACGAAAGTTAAGAACGTGCACTTGAAGTTTAAAATAGTGAACCATGAACAGAAATCTTTACCGGCAAGAGATATCGTCCAAAATGCTTGCTTGAAGTTATATTTAACAAGTCCACATTATAACATAATGTAATAATAACAATGACGACAATCACGGTGCTAAAAGCTCGTAATGAAAAAACAGATCGAGGTTGTTTTTTGAATCTTTGTAAGTTGTTGTAGTTACTTGTTTTCTGATTTTGTTTTATAGTTAAGTTAGCCGCAGTATAAAGCATCATAGGTTGATAATAAGTTTATTTCCTTACATTGTTATTTTTCATATCTTTATCTTCGGACATGTTTATTTCAGTATTTGTTGGTTTCAAATGATTATTAATTTTGTTTTTTTGTTGTGTTCGATAAAAATCTTAAGAATTTCTGATAATATGATTGATGTTGCAAAAATACACACAATCTATATTCTAGAATTGTCCTTTATAGATGAATTGATTCAGTCAATCATTTCCTTTTATGAGTGACACCAAAAAAAATAGATCGGGAGATTCCCATGACGTATTCTATATCGTTGGTAAACGTACGTACGTACGTACGTACGTACGTATGTATGTACGTATGTATGTACGTATCTGGTATGTTACGTTATGTGTATCAGGTACGGATTACAAACAAAGCCTTTAAAGACTTGTAAGTCCCAACCATAACGAATAAATCTTTCCATGAAATTCTATATAATTATTAAAATTCAGATTTAATCAGTAAATTGTTTACAATACCAACTGAAACAAAATGAATGTTCAATCAAATCATATGCTTTCTTGTAAACCTGTTTCAAATGAGATTGAGAATCATTCGGAATATGCTTATGTAACCGCGCCGTCTTCACCTCTAATAGAATATACTTATGCAACCACTATTGCCCTTATCTATAATCGAGTAGATTTATGTAACTGCGTTTAGAATGAGAATCCCATAAGTTATTTAGTATGAAAGTAAATCGTCCACGATATAGAGATAGCGGAACAGGTTGTACAAATCGATTACACCTTTTTTAGAAGGCATGAGTCCACCCGCAGTTAAGATGCTAGTTAACCATTTTCTGAATCATGCACTTGGAAAACGAGGACTTTGTGAATTTTCCATCCAAATCTATTGAAACAGATCAATACGATTCTAGTGAAGACATGAGTGGTATTGATAATTTTCTCGACTAATATGAACGTTATCTGATAAAATTT